CATCCCAAATACCCCCAAAACACATCCCGGGACCCCCCCCAAATACCCACCGGGACAGCTCCGGTACCGGGGAGCTGCGTGGGCCGTGGGACCGCCCCAAAACTGCCCCAAAACTGCCCCAAAACGACCCCAAAATCGCCCCAAAACTGCCCCAAAACGACCCCAAAATTGCCCCAAAACTGCCCCAAAACGGCTCCAAAAGGGCCCAAAAAAAGCCCCAAAAACAGCCCCCAAAACTTCCCCTAAAGGATCCCAAAAACAAACCCAAAAAAGCCCCAAAACGGGCCCAAAAACGGCCCCGAAATGACCCCCCAAAACTCCCCCAAACAGCCTAAAAATGACCCTAAAAGAGCCCCAAAAACACCCCCAAAAAAGCCCCAAAACTGCCCCAGAAAGCCCCAAAATTACCCCAGAAAGCCCCAAAACGGCTCTAAAAAGCCCCAAAAAGGCCCCAAAAAGCTCCAAAATGACCCCAAAAAGCCCCAAAAAAGCCCCATAATGGCCCCAAAATAACCCCAAAAAGCCCCAAAAAGCCCCAAAAAGACCTAAAAAAACCCCAAAAAGCCCCAAAACTGTCCCAAAAAGCCCCAAAATTACCCCCAAAAGCCCCAAAATGGCCCCAAAATGACCCCAAAAAGCCCCAAAACGGCCCCAAAAAGCCCCAAAATTACCCCAAAAAGCCCCGAAATGGCTCCAAAAAGCCCCAAAAAAGCCCCAAAATGACCACAAAAAGCCCCAAAATGACCCCAAAACGGCCCAAAAAGCCCCAAAACGGCCCCAAAAAGCCCCAAATGACCCCAAAAAGCCCCAAAATGACCCCAAACTCCTCTGGGGGTCCCCAAAACGCCCCCGGGACCCCCCGGGACCGGCTCGGGATCCCTTTGGGACCCCTCCCCAAAAGGGTCCCTGGGGTGTGGGGGAGGGTCTGTGTCCCCATCCCCACCCCCCGTGCCTCAGTTTCCCCCTCCCTGACCCCACAACCCCCCCAAATCCCATCCCCACCAAATCCCTCCCCCCGTGCCTCAGTTTCCCCCACTCTGACCCCATAGCCCCCCCAAGTCCCACCCCCCGTGCCTCAGTTTCCCCCTCTCTGACCCCATAGCCCCCCCAAATCCCTCCCCCCGTGCCTCAGTTTCCCCCTCCCTG